CCCTCCCTGTTCGCTCGCCCCCTGCCCCAACGCCGATAGAAAGCAGATAAATTTATGAAGGGCGAGCTAAGAGAATAATTACAGGGTAAAGGCCGTTAAATTTTATTTCCAGTCCCAAAGGCAAAACCTGCCATTTTATTGCAAACATCTGGAAGGACCGAGAGGTGGGCACGCTGCGGGTTTAAAATAAAAACAAAAGATTTTATTTCGCAAAAACAAAAAACATCATTAAAGACCCCTTTGCCCCTGTGGACTTTCATTAAAAAAAATACTGTCAGAGGTGGTGGAATAGTCAACGAAACAACAGTCTTGCAGCTCCTGGGGACCCCAAGGAGCCCAGGCATCTCAAGGCTCCACGGAGTGGGTTCTTGCTGCTTCCCTGGAACTGGCAATTGGGCAAGCGTTTTCCAGAAATGGACTCCCTCCTAACCCAACTCCAGGGCTCCAAGCCAATTATGCTTCCCCATTTGGTACTCTTGTTGCTTTGGGGGTGCCAAATTGGGAAAAGAAGAAAAAGGGGAACATCAGCCTCACATTCCTGGAAGATTGAGTCACAACAATAATAAAATCGCATGCCTGTCCAGCTCTGGGCAGATTATCTTGTCTGCTTTGCTTAGTTGTAAAATATTTGGGATTTTTTTTTTTAGTGGGGATTCAGTTTACAACAGGGAAACTGAGGCTTTGGGCAGTTTAACTCTCACCACAGCCAGGCAGTTTGGCCCCAATGGGCCCTGATTCCCCTTTGCCTTGAGCCAGGTTCCACCTCAGCTTGGGGTCCCTGTGGTCCCCTATACAGGATCCCAAAACCAACTCCATTGTTACCAAGTCTATTTGATTCATAAAGACCCTTCAAGGCAGGGGAGGACTTCCCTAAAGGGTTTACAAGGCTGAAATCCTTATGAGCACAAACTGCCACTTTTGCTCTGGTTAGAGAGCACTCAACTGCAGCACCACCAGGGCTCCTTCTATACCCCCATAGTCACCTCCTAATGATTTTTAAAAATCCAACTACAGTGTGAGAGTTCATTATAATTCCAACCCCCACAGGATGCCTGGCCATATGTTTAGGGGGCAGCCTAACCTACTCCCATGGCTAACTACTGTGTTTTAAACTTTATTTTCAACTGCCCACTCCAACCTCCCAAATCCAAGCTAGCTTTTATATGTATTGTTCTTTTGGTGGCCATGGTGATGCTCTTTAGGGTGGTGCCTGGGGTCTGGAGGCAGCTATGTGGAGGATGCAGAGGATCCACTTCTAGAAATGAGTGTTTGTGGTTCGGACTCTTGTCCTATGCTGCTGCAGAGCTCTGCTGTTCCTTTGAGAAATAAACAGATAGGGACAAGGTCCGTTCCAGGTGAGCAATCAGTTCACAGGGATAGTATGCAGCAACTTTCTCTTGCTCTTTAGAGCCATTTAAATATTTTGCTGGGAGGCATTCCAGCCTGATCCTTGTGATCAATTTCAGTTCTGGAATGGG